GGTGACTAGGTAGCCTTTCTGTCAAGACTCTGCTTTTCCCATCTTATCCACTTTTTGTCTCCCGGAAGAGCAGAAACAGAGCTGCTCTCTTGCTTTAGACACTGACTAGCTGGTAATGGGCCCACCAGATGGGCTGTGTCTGACCGGAGACTGACCAGGGAAAGATGTGTACTCTGCCAGTTTGAGCTCCTGCTCAGGAAATTCCAGTTTGGACCTGGCCAGCATTTGACTCCTGGGTCCAGTGGGCTTCCTCCACAGAAGAATAACAGCAGTGTTACAAATATCTGGAAATGAGGGCAGGGCCACTGGCCCATTATGGCATTCTGATTTTGCCTCAGGTACAGGCAATGCCTAACATTTGGCTCTTAATATACACAGAAGACTCAGCCAGGGTCTGTTATCCAAGACTGCCGCCTCCCCTGAAGTCCAGTTAGTGAGAGAAGTGAGCACAAGCTTGCCAGGTGGCAATACTAGTGTTTGGTTCTGGTACCCAGGGCCACTGAATGGCCAATGCTGTTGTAAAGCAGCTCAGGCCAGGTTTTGTGCCCTGTTGGTCATGTCCTAGTGAGGAACTGCATGTACCTGTTTTCAGACCTTGCATGGAATTGTATTGCTGCTGAATCTCTGTGTGGCCTCTTGCAACTCCCATTCCCTTAGTGGACCTGAGTTTTCCCTGCTACAAGGGTTGCCCTTGATGACTCCAAGTCTGCAGCATCCAGATAAGGAAGACCGAGTAGGCCAGCAGTACCCAAGGAGAAGGAAGGCAAGAAAAGGAGGCGCCTGTGCCATGAAGAGGCAGCAGCCTCCTGATGATGTCCTCTTAGACCACAGCGTTGATATCTGGGGGTCCTGTGCCTAGAAATCATCCTCTGTCCAGTAGTAATTTGGAGGCTTTCATCCCTGTGAAGTAGCTGGACCACTGGACATGTGCAGAAGGCTGCTTCTGACACGTTCTGCCTGTGCCCTGCTTCTCCACACAGAGTGCTGATGCTGTGTGGCTTCAGCAGAGCATGTACATGCAGTGCAGGAACTGAAACTGCATGTGTCTCACCAGCTGTCACTCCTTGGGGCCTCAAGCACACCATGCCCACGCTCTAGGGAAGAATGTCCTGGAGAGGACAGGCCTGATGAGTAGAAGGGGCTTTGCATGCCGCTGTCTCGGCAAAGCATAGGCTTCATTCCTGTGTGCTGATCAGGCTGCTGCCCATTTTACAGATGGTACCTTCTGAAGTCACCATGACACAAATAGGGCTCCTCTCCCAAGACATCCACCGCCTCACGGTAAGATTCCAACCACCGTCCTTGCAGCCTGGCTAGTGAAGCCCAGTAAGCTTGGTGGGGGTGATATTCATCATGGCCACAGGACAGGAAAGGATGATGTTTGATAGTGGGTCAGAGCCTGAGCCAGCCCTGAGGCACACAGCAGCTGAAAGGCCTCCTCCATTGGCCCGTTGCTGGGCTCTGAGCCACCACAGGGCATTGGAGGCTCACAGGCCTTTCATCAGAGTCAGCCTGAACATACAAGGTGCTGGATCCTTTCCCTGGTCTCAGATCTGGTAATGATAGAATGGTGCTCAAGAAGCTCTGGGTCAACTGTCCAGCCAGATCAAAGTGCTGGCTCACCTCTAGCCCAGTGACTAATGTCCTGCCTTCTTGGCACAGGAGAAACGTGCATTCCTGCCACTCCTCTGATATCATGAATATGTTCTGCAAGCTGGGAGAGCCTGCCATGCCCAGGAATACTAATCAGTCCATGGCGAGGCAACTTGGTCCCAAGGAAAGAAGAACAGATTTTTTTGGGGGGTGGGGGTAGGTGTGGTTCAAGTCATTGCCTTTTACTAGCTCTAGGAGCCTAGGTATGCCATTGTCCCTCTGAGACTGGCTTTAGTTATCTGTAAAACAGGGATAATGATAGCCCTCTTGTAAACCACATAAGAAGACCAGAAATACCACCAAATGGCCACCCCCGCCCCCCGGTTAAAAAACTGCCTAAAGGCAGGATGGAAGAGTCTCTTATATCTAAGCAAGACTACGTCAGTGCAACAGGCTTTGTCCCTTGGCTCATACAGAGAAATGTCTCTGTACAGTCTTGGATGTGATCTCCAACAAACCTTTGCTGGTCTTGAAATAGTAAGTTTACCTCTAAGATGAAAGGCTTAGTTTTATCTTGTGTATATGTATGTACTGGTGGTGGGGATTTAACCTAGGACATTATGCAAGCAAAGCAAGTTCTTGTGTACTTGTGTACACCAAGCTTCACCCTCACCCCCATTTTCACCTTAACATTACTGTCTGTTCAGCACTCAATGCGCAGACTCCCTGGCACATCATAACTTTGCAGGTCAGTGGTGTGGATATGGGCCACTCCCATTGTCCCTCTGTTTCTTGTGCAGACGCTGCAGGATAGCCTTGCCCTATAGACTGTTAAACTGTCCTTTTGGCTATGTTCTTACAGACTCTACTGAGCCAGGACCAACTACTGAATGATTCTCCTGGCTGTCCCTGATGCTGATGACTACAGATGACATTCTTCTTGACTGAAAGCCCAGGGAGGCATGCGTGGGACCTGAATGTTTGCCTCAATGGGGAGTTGGCACAGAGCCATCTACAGAACCCAGATGTGGCTCTTTGGGGTACCTCAGATGTAGGTGCTGGCAGGAGCAAAGGCAGAAGGATGAGACAGGTGCCCAGAGGTTCCCTGTGTACTTCAGCATCGTCAATGATCGCTTTTCACTACATAGAGCTTTTCTACCTTTTGTACTTTTATATACAAACTGCAGACACTCTTATAGAGAGGAAAGTGAGGTGTTAAATGCAGAGCAAAGGCAATGAGCTGTTAGTTCATAAAAGCCTCTGCTTGGAGGGAAAAAAAAAAAAAAGATGTGCAAACTGTTCTGATTGTCCTGCAGTGGCTGATTGAAGTTGCTTGGGGATGGGGTGGGGTAGGGGATTCTCTGGGGCTACTTCTTAAGAAGTATGTATTTTCACTTCCGGGAGCCTGGCCCTGAGAACCAGGACTCCTGTCTCGATCCTCTAGCAGCTTCCATCCACCTGTATCTGCCGTGGGTGTCTGAGCAGAAGTGTTCCCAAGACACCAAGGTGACATGACACACTTTCCCTCACCTGCTTCAAGTAGTGGCTGATCAAATACCTCCCCCTAGTGGACAGTCTTAAACACAAACTTTTTCCCCCCTGTTATACAAGCCAGTTCTGTTACCTTGATACCTCCAAGGGATGCACCCACTAAACCCTCCCAGGCCATGGCTGTTCCATTTCCTGCTTTGTTGTTATCTGATCGCTGCCTGTGACTTTCTACTTGGTCCCTCACCACCTTAGTTGGTCCCTGCCAGACATTCCCCATGCCTGTCACCTTGTCACCATTCTGCTTTGAATTTGTTAGTCACAGAATGCTCACAGATGGGCATGCCAGTCCCTTTCTATCATCCCAACAGCCTTTGTGAGTCCACTGATTTGTCTTTGCTTCACCCCGTTTATTCTTTATTCTGGTTCCAAGTCAACTCTGCCCTTTGGGTGCTGTCTGCCTTTGCCTCTGAGATGTTCACAGCCCACTTTGAGGTTATGTGCCCTTTTGCCATGCACTGGTACCCTCTGCATAAACCCTCTGAGCCACTGTAGTCCGTGTGGGCTAAGTGAGTTCCAGCTGTCAGATTGCTTTTGCAGTATCCTTGGTCCTCCGTACAGATGTCATTAGCTCTTTCTCCTCCAGTTAGGAAAGCCCAAATGTCTTCAGGCTTTGTCAAATGTCCCCTGGAGGGGGAAATCACCCCCTCCCAATTGAGAACCATTAGGCTGAAAAATAAGGTCAGCGTGGAAGGAAGCTTTAGGGAAGGAAAAATCCATGAGGTTGAGATGAGTCCAATGGGAAAAGGCTTTGCAGCTGGGCCTGGAGGCATATGCCTGTCATCCCAGCTACTAACAGTTGGGAGGCTGAGGCAGGATGACTGTGACTTCACAGATGACTTGAGCTACAGAATGAGTTCAGTGTCAAGTGGGGCAATTTAGTGAATGGACATGAGTGTTTCCCCTGACTTGGGCTTTTCCCATGGATACACTAAGCATGAGTGGGTGGATCAAAGTGTGAGTGTCCCTCCCAGGCCTGCCTTGAGACTGTGTTTGGCCCCCTGTGGATGAGATTCAAGGGTACAGCAGAGCTCCGTGGAGCCATATTCCTTTCCTCTTTTTCTTTTTTTGCGCCCCTCCTCACATGTGCACATTGAGCAACAGACCCAGCAGTGAGTTCTAATACTGCTGCTCCTATGCTAGTTCTTATGAAAGGAGAACAGACTTAGAATTCAACAGACCTGGGCTTAAAGCCAACTCTGCTACCCACTGTCTGAATGACTTGGAGACATGTAACTAACTGTGTCTGTGTCTGTTTCCTCCTGTGTGACTTAGAGAACAAAATCTCCACAGAATCTCTGGCCTGTTTGGAAGGATATATGAAAAGAAGTTGGAGTGGGCTTACCCACTGAAGTAGCAGAGCAGCAGTGTGTTATTCTCACTCTGAACAGCAGGTGGCGATAGCAGTCCTGTATCCTGTAGGTTGGATTTGAGGCATAGCTGCTGGGTATGGTGAATTGTGAAACTTAAGTCTAACCATGCCTACCTTGGCCCAGTACCAAGATGGAGTCTGTCACCTAGAGAATGCTAAAATACAAATATTTCCCCATGTCTCCATCTGCTGTACAAAATTCAGGGACTAAGGAAGGGATTCCTAGAGTCTACCTACTGTGAATTTACTGCCCTTACATATAGGTTTTTAATCCTATTTGTGTCTCAAAGTGTCCCACATGGGAAGGAAGAACACACAAGGCCTTTGCCCTCTTGTGAGTCATACCTTCAAAGTGGAGAAATGTAAAGAAGGTTCATGAATAGTTAGTAGAAGTGATGGAACCCCATTTGGATCCTGCTAGAATTCTACCCAGGCAAGTTCTGGCTGCCCATTGTATTCCCTACATATTCACACATTGTGAGCTAAATGCAGAGCAGTTCAGTTTATTACACTAAGCCATGGAGAAAGGCATCATCCCCAGCCTCCAAGCCTCGAAGCTCAAAAACTACCTTGTCTTCCATCCTTTGAATTCTTACGTCCACACCCAGAACAGCACCATGCCCAAGGGTACATGGAGAGGCACTTAGACAATACTGTAGTTGAATAACGTGAAGGCAAACTCACTCTGAAACAGAGGAGAGGGACCCGCCATGGAGCATGGGGGGATACTAATAGGTAAAAATCATGTCCTTGGTATAGCCAAGCTGCTCCAGGCTGGGGTGAACTGCCTCCTGGATCATAGGTGGGGGACCGCACACTAGGATGAGTGTGGCCTCCCCAGGGGGAGGGAGGTGCTTCTTGATCATGTCAGCAGTAACAAATCCAGAGCTGTACTTCCATCCTGAAATGAAGCAAAGCAGGGAAGATGCACGGTTCTGTGTTTGCCCCTGATGCTGGCGACCAGGGTGACCTACAGAAGCTGAGAAGTCCGCACTGCTGGTTCCCACAGATAGGACATTCCAGCCATCTGCAGCATTCCCTCCAGATTCCAGGCTCAAGCCTTGGACTCAGACTCAGGATGATGTCTCTTTGCTCTAAGTCCTGAGTTGAGTGGGGCTGTTAGGTAGGGGTGGGTAAGGAGGTCATATTGGTATGGTGGGGTGTTTGTTGAGTTGGGCAGCACCGTCTGCTGGCAGCTTGAAATATGCCAAGACAGATATAGATCAAGGAAGCAGGTGATGTGCCCTGCATGATACAAGGTGTGTGGTTGTTCCTGGGTGCTAGCTGAGGGCTGCAGCAGCTGGCTGAGGCTCAGCATATGAAGACTGCTGTCCAGAAGAGTTTGATGGTGAATGGCAGAGTAGCCATGAGCAGTACAAGAGGGTAAGGGGCCAGTGGTCATATTAGGTGAAATGGGCTGACTGTGGAGGGCAGGTGTTCAAGTAGCCTGGTGGCTCAGGGTCTACACTCAGTACAACGTGGGGAGTGTAGAATTAGCACCTACCCTTGACTCCCCTTTACAACCTGCTGCACACAATCTCCTCCCATCAGATTCTTGCATGCTCTATACAGACCAAAAGCTCTAAGGCTTAATCTCTTTTGGAGTAAAAACCTTAAAGGCAAAACAAGCCAACAAAACCTAGAGACTAGTCTGTAGGTGTGTCAAACGGTGGAACTGGCTCAGAATAAGAGAGAGTAGCATGGGGCATACCAACAGGAGGCCTGTCCAGGGTATACCACACGTTGAACTGGTTAGGGTGAGTTGTAGCGATTTCTTCTAGCTCCTTTCTCAACAAGATATCCTCTTCTGTCTAGAAAAGAAGCAACATTACAGTGGTCCATCCAGGAACAGCCAGTATGCCCACCTAGATTGAACACGTGGGTCTGTACATTCACACCTTCATTGCCACTGTCCTAGCTTGAGAGCTTGCCAGACTCCAGGGCAGACAAGGTCCTGTTCCTCCTGCACACTACACCCTCTCTCTGGGTGAGAATATATATATATATATATATAAAGAGCTGGTGGGGCTGAAGGGTAAGGTAGAGGTACCAACAGCATATCTGCCCTCTAGCTGGAAGGACGGGCTGCATAGACCCTGTGCATGCAAAAGTCTCCACTCATTTTCTTGCATCCAGGGATCAGGTCTAGCAGACCCAACAGACACAGGCTTAGTGCAGGTTGGCCTTCCCTAAGGAGCCAGGGGAGGGTGGTGCTGGTGATGTATAGAAGAAGAAGGTGGTCTGTGTTTACATGTGAGAAAAGGGGGACAAGTCTCCAAGAGAATGCCTAGGCCTGGGTCATCAAACCCTCCATGTCTCTTCTCCCAGGAATGCTACTTCTGGCATGGTTTCATAAAGTAAAAGTTATCAGGTCAGGCCCAGTTACTCATAATTATTGTTTATGACAAAATCTGGAAAGAACCTGAATGAAATTTTGGAAAAATTTCACTTTGATTCTGATGTGACTATTTAAAGTTAGTGAGAGGAAGATGCATATGTGATACTACTAAGTGTAAAAGTATATGTAATATATATATGGATATATCATATATAAATAATATATAAATACATAGTATATATTGCAGAAAAGACAAAAGATAAAAGTATTCATATTCTTCTGAATTCCTCAGAATTTCCAGCAGGAACATCCATTATTTAATATTCAGAAAAACAGAAAGGGAATTGAGAAAGCTCAGTGCAGGGAGTGGGTCTGTAGGGAAGATGCCAGAGTTTAGCAGAAACAAACAAAACAGGCCTGGCCTCAGCTTCTTCAGCCACCAGCAGACTTTCAGAACCCACTAAGCCTCCCACAGCCCAAGGCGCCCAAGCAGCATGTTTCCAGGCAATGGGAGGGGAATGAATTCATATAGAGCCCCAACTCAGGGAACATTCCATGCTACTGTAGCAAGCTCTGGGCTGACTCTGCAGAACTGACCTGGTTGGCAAAGAGAAGGGACATCCTGGTCCCATCACTGGTGTTCTTTGTGATGTGGCGAATAAGCTGCAGCATGGGAGTAATGCCTGGAAAACAATGGGCAGGCCAGCTTTCTACCATCTCCAATGCCTCCATTTCTGGCCTTCAGCAGATTAACGATATCATTTAACCCTGATTCTACCATTTCCCCTTCTGTTCCCCAAAACCCAAAGTAAGGAAGAACCTTCATTTTGATGTTCCTTTTTAATGCAGCAGAAGGTCAAAAGCCCCCTTTCCTTTTTGAGACAGGCTTTCACATATCTCAGGCTGGCCTCAACTTACTGTGTAGCCAAGTATGCCCTTGAACTTCTGATTATCTCAAGTTCTGGGATTACAGGCATGTGCTACCAATGCTTGTTTTTATGTGATGCTGGGGAACCCAGGGCCTTGTGTGTGCTAGGCAAATATTCTACCAACTGAGCCATATCCTCAGCCCTTTTTCTTTTTCTATTGCAAGAGGGAAAGAACATTCTGTGAGTTAGTTCTTGTCCTTGCTTGCATAGTAGAATTAATGGCCAGTAAATGTGATAGTATTACAACTGCCTGTGATGGTGCCTAACACCCTGTGGGTTATTAATCCCTGAGGGTTCATTCTCAAGGGATTTGGAGAGTCAGACTGGAACTGGATCTTCCACTATTTAGGAACCATCCAGCAAAGCTTGCCCTGCTTGGCTTCTTAAGAAAGGTTCCCATGGCTCCTAGGGAGCCACTATGACGGTTGCAGAGGAACAGGGTCAGAGTCAGTATCTGTTGCCACATTGCCACTACCGCAGCTGGGGAGCAATTGCTTGTACCACCTCTCATAAGGTCAAATGACTCCCAAATTAGTGTGGTCTTAGAGGAACCCAGAAACCTCTTACCTGTTCCCCCAGCAATCATCCCCAGGTGATGAAACAGTCTGTTTTCAGGCTCATTCATTTCGTCTACTTTGACTATAAGGGAACCTAGAAACATAGAGGATGTTTATGACTTCTGTAGCCTTTGGCTGGCTGCCTACAAAAGACTTCTGACTCTTAGGAGGCAAGATCAGCTAAGGTTGTAGCATTCCAAGCCAGAGAATCAGACATAGTAGCTTCACTGGCCACCAGTGTACAGAGTGGAAACCGAGGCTAGGCATCCATTGGATAGCTGGGTCTTTTCTTAGGCAAACTTGGAAAGTAGGCACCTTTCATGTATCTGTGCCAGAGACAGTAATGAGGACATTCTGGATGAAGCAAAAAGCTTGTGAAATAAATATGAGCAGTGACAGAAGTCATTATAAATGCATTCACGTGAATGAATGTGTGAAGACTTGAAGTACAAGCCCATGTGCTCCAGGGCTGAGGAAGACCATGGTAAGATCACTGCAGGAATCACCCAGCTTTGAGAGGAATTGCCCAACTGTGAGATCCCACTGAACAGCACCTGGTACCTGGCTCATGGTAGAACAGGCGCCCTGTGGGCCCTCGAAAAAGGATGGTGTCCCCAATTTTCATGTTCTCTAAGTACTGAGTCATCTTTCCCCCTTCAGGATACCTGGGGTGCACGTTTTTGAAGTATATCTGAAAAGCAAGCACAGGTCTTTACGCTCCCAGGCCTTTGACTATGGTTGCACACAGCTGGAAAGTACATTTGCCTTCAGAAGTCATGCAAGTGAACACTGCCACACTCACTGTGAACAGTTGTTTTAGTTTCATTTCTGTCCCCACAATAAAATACCCTAATAAAACAACTCACGGGAGAAGGGGTTTATTTTACCTTACAATTCAAGGTTAAAGTCCATCATTGCAGGGAAGTCAAGGCAGGAACTTAAAGCAGCTCACCACATCACATCCAAAAAATGTATGCATGCATGCCTAGTCATGCTCAGTTCATTCTCTATACTTACACAGTTCAGGGTCCTCTGCCTAGGGAATGGTGTCACCCACAGTGGGCTGGGTCTTTCTACATCAATTAATATAATCAACACAATCCACCATAGACACTTCCACAGACCAACCTGGTATAGACAGTTACCCATTAAGACTCTTCTCAGGTGATTCTAGATTGTGTCAAGTTGGCTATTAAACTAATTACAGCAATCCTTTGAGACACTACAGGGTTAATTGTAGCATTGCTGATAAATTAGACTATTGGAAAGTGCTGTCCAGGCCATAAGTCCTCTCAGAGAAAAAGTATTACTTTCCATTCTACCACACTAAGGATACCTGGGAGCTCCAGATTGCTGGATAAGAGGTGGACATTATTTACCTTTATAATGAAGTCCACAAAGCCTTGATCATCATCACTAGAAACAGGAGTGTAAGCCCTGATTACCAATTGACCATTCATTTGGGCCAAGAAATGGACATAGTTACCTACAAAAAAAAAAATCAAATGTTGATAATCAAATAGAACCCAGAAATCCCCCAAATTCACTTTGGTAACATCTGCCTAGCTATGATCACACTATAACTCTTGGAGTAAGACTTAATTAAAGGTGGAAATGGATACTAAAAATATCAGAAAGGAGCCAGGTGTGGTAGCTCATGCCTGTAATCCTAGCACTTGGGCATCAGAGACAAGATTGACTTGAGTTCAAAAGTAACCTGGGCTATAAGTTGCAGTCCAATCTATGCTAAGAGCAAGAACTTGTCTCACAAAAGAAATCAGAGAAGTTTTTTTCCCATTTAAAGAAAACTAGTCTTCACAAAGTTTTTTTCTTCCTAACCTGAAGTCTGGGAGGGAGTCACCAGTATCCCATCTCTGTCTCAGCATAGAACAAGGCTTAGCCTATTGGGTTCTGCAGGGTCCCAAGACCTAGACAGTTCTGTTTCAAATAAAGCAACAATGTTCCATCCTGGCCATTGGTTCTGCTGAGAAGCAACAGGAACATTTACACTGTGTGTTTGCCTGTCCAGAGTAGAATTCTATAGGCCTGGAGGGCTGAAGACTTAGGATTTGAGATTGTAGCCCAATGTCAGCTAATGAGCCAGAGTGAAGTCCAGACTTCAAAGACCAAAGCAATTAGTACTGAGGGGAGGAGCTGCATCAAGGGATGCTAAAATCTAGAGGCAAAAGAAGGCTCCAGGCTTCTACTTCAGGTGGAGTAGAAATTAAGTATGCCTGGAAAATTAGAAATACAGCTAGAAGTGGAAACTGAGAGAAACAGATGAAGAGGAGGCAGAAAGGAAGGAGGGGGAGTGGGGTGCTTAAGGACAGAGTGGCTAGTTCAAGATGTTAAGCAGTGTTCATCTGGGTCTTGGAGGAGTTCCTAGAAGCTGAGGTGCAAACTTAATAGCCATAGCCTGATTGGCCACCAGGGACGCTTGACAACACAGGCCCAAAGCAGCACTTCCTTCCAAAAGCTCACCTGAAACTGAGAACCTAGAAGTGAGTTACTGCATCCCTATGCAGAATGGAGCTGTGTTCCTGACCCAGAGCCCTACCTATAACTATCTTCACTTCAGCTGAACTGTGAAGCATTCACCGTTTTTCTGGCATACTCTTAGAGGCCACTACATTGCCTTGTCCCACTGACCACACTGCTTCCACTGGGGCTGAAGGGAGAGTAGTTTAGAGAAGTCTCTACAAATTCTATTTCTCAAGTGGCTTTTGGTTTCATACTGTCCCCCAACAGGATGGTGACAGGCTAAAGTAGAGGAATAGAAAGCCCAGTGACATAGCACTCTCATGTACAGAGGAGTGAAGGCCAGCAGGCTTCCTTGTGTTATAATTTCATCACCTGTCAGAGTTGCAGTCACAGCTTTCTTTGAAAAGTAGGCCATCAATCAGACTGTCCACTAGGAAGCAGGCAACAAGGCTTCTCTGCCCCACACCTGTCCCTTAGGTTTTCCACCTCAGGAGAGTGGACTCATTGTCTAGAGTAGTTACTGATAAAATGAGAAATGGGACAACTCAGAATCTGAGGAGGACAGATAGGGCTAGTTCCTTAAGTGGGTCTCAGGACCCCCGCAGATAATCCATCCATCCAGGGGCATCTGCATCACTAGTCACTTGCCACAGATTTTGGGCTTTGACTATAAGGGAATATCTGCTCTTCTTACCCATGCATAACACTATGTAGTTTCTGAACTTTCACATCCATCAATCATTTTGCTCTCACTATACCTGAAGTAGACTGACAGGCCTGGGAAACACTTTTCTAGATGGAAGATCAGTGAGGTTGATTGAGGCACTGGCCTTAAATTGCATGGGCAGGAGCCTTTAATGAGATCTTAGACCTCTGGCTCTAGGCTTACTTCTTTTCAGTTCTCCTCAAGATACTACTTTTATGACAGTCAAATGGAACAATGAAGACACTGTCCTTAAGTCCTTCTGCCTATCTCCCTCCATTCATGTGATCCAGGGTTATATCAGTGTATCCTCCATATCCCATGAGAATGAGAATCCATTTCTAATAGGAACTGAGCATCCCAAAGACCCACACCTGGATTGCTACCAAGCACTGCTCACCTACAGGGAGCCCTAAGACATGGTCCGGTGAGAGCAGTCCAAAGCGGAACCTTCGGGTGTTGTGGTTGATTTGCTAGTTTAAAAAAAAAAAAGAAGAAGAAGGTTCTGTTGGCTCTCTAGGAGTTTTACTGTGTGACCCAGATCTTAGAAAGTTGATCCATTTGGCTCTGAGGTGACTGCTCACCCCACCTTCCCAGCTAGCATTCCCCCCCACCCCCCAACCCCCCCACCCCCCCACCCCCAACTCCCCCACCCCCCCACCCCCTCCACCCCCGTCCTCTTTCACCTAACCAGGGGAAGGTTTAGGTGACCCACTACCTCCTTCTCAATCAAGGGCAGAGTGTACTCGGCTTCAGGGTCCTGTAAAGTGATGCGACCTTTCTTCTTTAAGTTTATTTGCTTCAGGATCATGAGAATCATAGTGATGCCGACGACACCAATGGCCAACAGCAGGGACCTGTCCTAGCAGACACAATGTGAGTACAGACCTCAGATCTCACCCTTCCTGGGCTAGGCAACTCCAAGCATGGCTGATCTTATATCTCAAAGGACTAGCAGAGGGAAAGGTATTAACACAGAAGGTTGCCTGTGGGGACCAGAGGATGAGAGGTTAGCTGTAGGTCCAACAGGCCTCCTGGACAAGGCCTGACACCTGACCAGAGTGCTAGTCTCTTCAGGCCCTTCTTGCCCACCTGGCTACAGCCAACCATGGGGAGGAGTGATGACATTAGTTATAACAGGCCCATCTGAGAGATAGCTGTGCTGTCCTTGCCAGGTGGTTGTGGCTAACAACAAGGCTGGATACAGGGCTTACCTCTCCTGAGACTTCCCACTCACTTCAGATCCAGCTGTAGTGGAGTCCTGAGTGCCTTTGGGACTCAGCAGCACCTTCCAGGGCAGGCAAAGGAGGCCAATACCCATCTGCCAGAGGTGTGGCCAACCTCCCCACAACAGCCCTCAACTCCGCCCAGTTCCCTAACAAGGCCAGTTTGTTCACATCCGGACCTGTTCCAGAAAGGTCCGCTGTTGCCTAGTCCTCCGGCCGAAAGGCCAAGGGTTCCCACCAGCTGGGAAACCGCCTGTGAGTCCTGCAGAAGCCATCGCCTGCCGCTGCCCCCAACCTTGGATTCCTTCCTGCCCGGCGCCTTTCCGGCGGAACCCACTAGGAGCGAGATGCCCAACTAAATCCTCCATCTGACATATTCAGGCTTCTGTGTCGCGTGACTCTGGCACCGGTCCAGCCCTGAGCCTCCTCCGCGGCTGGCCCTGTGGGGATGGAGCGCATACTGGCCTCCAGATTTCCTATTCATGATAGGGCTCCCTCTGTATCTTTAAGTGTCACTGCGTATCCCAGTGGCCTTGGGAAAATTCAGCCTCCCCAGCTTGTTAACACCATGGCAAGATGGAGAAAGGGGTTGCTGTAAACTTGTTTATGGTGCCAACTGAAGAAATGAGAGCTGCAGCCTAGAGGAAGAGCACTAGCATGACTACATGTCTAATTTAACATGTCTCCTGAGCTGCTACCCTGAGCCTCCCAGAACCAAGTGTTTGCAGGGTGGGGCTGGCTGGCTGCAGCATGGCATGCCCTCACTAGTTGGAAACAGATAAGTCTCTATAGGAGACAGGATGAGAAGTACAGCTTATGAAGATTCTTCACAATGCACTTCAGAACCTTGGTTTCCTTTTCCATTCTTGCCAATGGCAAAAGTAAACTCTCATTTCCATCTGAGAGAGCCAGAGAGGTCAAGAAGCAGGTCCTTATCAGCTAGGGCCACAGTAATGGAGGACCACAGACTGTCTAGGCAAAAGGATCTGAGAATCCCAAATCAAGGAATGGACCAGCTGTGGTCTTTTGGAGGCCTGTTGGGGAACAGAGAACTTTTGCCCTTCTCCTGAGCTTTTCTCTTTAATTCATCTCCCCTCTCTGTGCATGTTCCTGTGTTCAAGTTTCCCCTTGTAATAAAGACCTCAGGCATAGTGGATTATCTTCATTACTTCAGTTATCTCCAATGAGGACATGTTTGCTGGTATTGGGAGTTAGGGTGTAAGGTAGGAATGTGAGAAATCAGCTCACATCACGACATCACCCTCCACCCCAAAGCACCATGCTGCAGTAGGCACGCATAATGACATCTTCCATGATATCTTCCTGGGCCCTCAGGTCATTGCCAGATAATTTGATTTTTTTGACAGCTTACGTGTTTAAAATATAAAGTCAGGGCTGGTGGTATCTGCCTGAAACCCCAGCTATTTAGGAGGTTGAGGCAGGAGGATCAAATGTTTAAGACCTGTCTGGCTACAGAGTGAGTTTAAGGCAACTTAGTAAGACTCTGTCTCAAAACTTAAAAACAAACAAACAAGCAAAAAACCCAACCAAACTACAACAACAAAAAGAAAGGGCTGAAGATACAGGACACCATTAGCTTAGCATGTGTGAGGCCCTGAGTTCAGTCTCTAGTATGGAGGGGAAAAAATGTCCAGAGTGTACAACGATATCTCATGAAGGGATTTGCTTTGCATCATATGCTCGGATGAGGGATGTCTTGCCTATTTTGATCTTCAGTGTCCTTACCTTTTTACGAAGTTATGACAGCGTAGGACTCTTGCTCAATTTTCCATTGAGTTACCTGCATCACACCCACTTTTAAGAGGTTTATATGTGTATCAGACAGAATTCCTTTGTCACATGAGTTATAAAGGTTTTCTCCCAACACGTTTCTTGTCCTGTCTCCAACTAGCAAGGGCATGACATACTGTAGCCAGCCCCACCCTGCAAACACTTGGTTCTGGGAGGCTCAGGGTAGAAGCTCAAGAGACATGTTAAATTAGACATGTAGTCATGCTAGTGCTCTTCCTCTAGGCTGTAGCTCCCATTTCTTCTGTTGGCACCATAAATGAGTTTACAGCAACCCTTTTCTCCATCTTGCCATGGTGTTAACAAGCTGGGGAGGCTGAATTTTCCCCAAGGCTAGATTTTTACAAGAAGAAGCAACTCTTGGCTGAATATTTGATTCCACATGAGGTAGCAGAAGCATCTTAAACATTTTTCAGAGTTTATCAAGTTTTTTATAATTGTTAATGCTGAGACTCAACTTTTCATAAATACACAGGACAAAAGACAAAAGTAGATTTAGGGCCTGTTAGAAATTGTTTGAAATTCTGTCCCAATCGTAAGCCAAAATTCATAATTTATATTATGAAACTCAAGTTGGTAACTCAAACAGCAATTTTATTTTATTTTATTTTTGGTTTTTCAAGACAGGGTTTCTCTGTGTAGGCTTGGTTGTCCTGGAACTCACTCTGTAGACCAAGCTGGCCTCAAACTCACAGAGATCTGCCTGCCTCTGCTTCCCAAATGCTGGGATTAAAGGCATGTGCCACCACCACCCTCAAACAGCAATTTTAAAAAGCAAACCCTGCAACACAATCCAGCCCCAAAGAGATACTTATCTGATACTATGTGAATGATGGTGGAAAAATAATAATTCTTTGGTTTTTTTTTTTATAATTGAACATTATATTTCTACAACAGCATGAAAGGTTGTTGAGTGGGGGATAGTAATAATACTTTGACTTTCTTTCTTGTGTCTCAGACTGTGATGAAGAATCCTGGGGCAGGGAGATTTGCCTAGACTGTCTGTAGAGCCTGAGATAATGGGTCCATATATGAGGTTCAGAGAAGACAGTGGAAGGTCAGGGCAATGAGAAGAGAGCAGCAGTGTGGAGTGATGAACTGTGGAGATGGAGGAAGAGGCCAAGATGTCTAGGTAGTCACTAGAAAATGAAATTCAAGGTAATGAAAATTTCTCTTATAACCTTTGGTAGAAGAATGAACCCCGTTGGCTCCTTCACTTTATCCTGAGAAACTGTTATACTTCTAGCTTCCAGAACTGTAAGAGAATAAATTTATGTTGTTTTAAGCCACGAAGTTTATAATAATTAGTTACGACAGCAATACATTAAATGAACTATTTTTTAATCTCTATCGACTTCTTAATCTCTATGGACTTCTTTGTTTGCAATCTTTAAAATATTTAACAAGTGTTTTTCCTATATCTTGGCTCAGAAGTTTCTTTCCGCTTTTCCTAATACCCCAGTTGTTTTCATGGCCAACCTCTTTTCTCAAAAGCTGCCTCCTGCCTGGTCACAACTCCAGCTCATTGTCTCTGCCAGGCCACATGAGCAGCTTTCCTCTTTTCTCTGGCGTGGGCCCATCCTTTGTGTATTCTGCTAAAATGTCACTCATGACAAAGAATTGCAGCAGCCACATTTATTTGACTGGAGTAAGCTTTATGAGACACACGGAGAGCCTAGACTACTCTAGGCTCTGATACTGACCAAGGCAGGGTTGGATTTTCCCCTTGTTTCTTCTTTAAGGATTTGGGACTAAAGTATATTGGTGCTGCCTGGCCAGAATTCCCCACTGAGCACTGCAGGTGGGGCTAGAACTGTGGCTGTACTTGAGTTTTTGAAATGTCTTCAACCTGTTATATTCATAACAGAAATATAGCGTGAATCCTAATTGGTCTTAATTATAAAAACCCAGAGCCAGATACCATGGTAAATGCTGAAAGATCAGAGAGACAAGGGAGCAAGCCACGGCTACCTCTTACCTCGCCAACTCCTCAGCCTTAAAGGGGTGAGCTCCTGTCTCCTCCTGCCTTATATTCCTCTCTCTGCCCAGCCGTATCACTTCCTGTCTCTACCTCCTTAGTGCTAGGATTAAAGGCCTGTGCCTCCCAAGTACTGGGATCAAAGGCATGAGATCACAAGTGCTGGGATTAAAGGTGTGTGCCACCACTGCCTGGCTTCTATGGTTAACTAGTGGCTAGCTCTGCACTCTGATCTCTAGGCAAGCTTTATTTGTTAGAGCACAAATAAAATAGTACCACACAGAAACGTGACTGTGGTAGGCTGGGGATGTAGCTCAGTTGGTAGAGTGATGGCCTAGTATACATGAAACCCTGGGTTCGATCCCTAGTACTACATAAACCAGGTATGGTGATGTATAGCTGTGGTGCCAGTGAGTGGAGGCAGGAGAAGCTGAAGTTCAAAGTCACCTTAGGTTATGTAACAACTTTGAGGCCAGTCTGGGCTACAGGAGACCCTATTGCAAAACAAAATGAAGGTGGCGATGGAAAAGTTTGCACATTTCTGTGGGACCAACCCTAGCGATCTGCAGAGAGGCAAAGGGGATTGAGACTCCTGACTGATGAGAGTTTGTGTGAAACTGAGATTACGGAGAGTGAAAAGAACAGCTTGTAGAATCCTATTCCTGTTGTCCTTCCCACTCCCAGGGATCTCCTTCCTTAACAGCTATGTCTGCTGAGCTATGCCGATGGTGCTAGTCAAGCTCTCCACCAATATTTACAGCAGTTACTTCAACTCTTCCCAAACAGCATCTGTTGTGACAGAGGCTGAGCTCCAGCCTCCAGAAGGTAGTGACTGTGAGTTCACAGCTTGGAGCAAAGGGAGTCGATGGGAAAGCAAATGCTGTTCCCAGGGGAACCTGCCACCTGCACAGGGTTGTGCCATCTGGGGATGAAAGCTTCAGACTGTCAGTCAGAGAAAGGGGTGGGGTGGGCTGAGGAGGAGGAAGGGGGATGATATATGAAGAGAAATGAGGGGATACATCCCCAACTCCCACTTCAATACAGCTGGAATTGGTGTAGAAAACAACATTTTTCCTCTTCTCCCTATAATGTAGGTTATTTTACTCTGTTGTGGGGCATTTACCCACCAACTCCACAGTTCCCCAGAGTTTTCTTGAGTGCGAGCAGCAGGAAATATTAGATAGAAGGATTTAGATTGCAGAGATAAATAGATAGAAAATAAAAGATAGCCTCGAGAGGGCCTGGAACCTTTTCCAAGGGGCCCTGACTGTCTCTGCCCCAGGGTATTTATAGAGACGCCAAGGGGTGGAGCAAAAGACCTCCTCCCCCTGCATAGCCAAGTGCAGACCATTTTAGACACCTGCACTCAGGTCCGTGGCCCTAATCATCCTCTATGCGGACCTGCTGGGTAAAGCCATGAGGAACCTGAAAATGGGCTCCCACACTCTGTGAAATAAAGAGACACACAACAGGTAACAAAAAGCTTACAGAAATGCAGAAACTATCAACAAAGTCTGAGTCTCATGGAAAGGGCCAGACAATTGTCACTTATATGTGACTCAAAGGAAGAGGGTCTTGGG